GTCAGGAACTGAAACAGAGTCAGGAACCTACTGAGAGTCAGGAACCTACTGAGAGTCTGGAACCTACCGAGGGTCAGGAACCTACTGAGAGTCTGGAACCAGCTGAGGGTCAGGAACCTACCAAGGGTCAGGAACTGAAACAGAGTCAGGAACTGAAACAGAGTCAGGAACCTACTGAGAGTCAGGAACCTACTGAGAGTCTGGAACCTGCTGAGGGTCAGGAACCTACCAAGGGTCAGGAGGGTTTTGTGTCATATGTCCTCTATTTAAGCTAGAAGCACCCTCTTTTCTGCTGCTGATGAGGTAACAAATGGTGTCAGGAGGTGGAACAATCAATGGAACTGAACGTTTACTGCACTGAATTTTGATTGAACTTTGAAACTGAATTTTGACTGAACTTTGACACTGAATTTTTCACAAACCCTAACTCTACTTTTAGATACAGACTTGATCTTCACAGAGATATTAAGCACTTTTTGAAACAAGGCATTGTCCATTTCACCATTTTTTCTGCTGCAGCGTTGTATGATGGGAGTTTATCAAAAACAAACTCCACATCCAGTGATGTCACAATATTAGTTTTATAGTGTAAAAAAAAGTGACAGTCAATCAACAAACTGATGTGAAGATGCTGAATGAAAACTGGGAAGCATTGTTTAAGATGAACGTCAGATCTCACGACCTGAACTGTCAGTAGAAATAAGGATGTATTCTACTGTCAGGTCTGAAATCTACTGTATATGACAACATTATATATTATATATATATAATATGTTATATATTCACTCAATGCTCACATTCACAGACATGACAATAAAACTATGTCACATATTCACTCACCAAGTTACAGATAAAAGTTTGCAGCAAAGAAAGTCACAGAAAGTTAATTTGAACATTATTATGAATCTGTTGTTTATATCATATTTATATATAATTTTATATTTATGGTCATTCATATTATTACACTGACAGTCACGTCTAACATCTACCTGAGACCAGTATGAATAAGATCTACCTGTGTCGGGGATTTGGGACGAGGTGGTCCAGGTGAGACAGGACGGAGCATATGATTGGAGCTGCAATCTGGACTCTCAAGTGGACTCTCATCTTCTGGTGGTGATGGGGTTCTCGCAAGTCGTAATGGTCCTGAATCACTAGTGGACAAAACAGAAACTACATGATCACAAGTCTTCTGATTGGCTGCCTAATGTCAGATGGTACAATCACACTATTCCATATCAAACCTTTAAGAGTCAAAGTAAAAGTGAAAGGTCAAACTGACCTCGGGGCTCCTTGGATGGTAAACATTTTGTCAGAATGCTGTTCACCCAGTTTGGTCATAACTTCATACAGCTGCCTGCATACCTGGACAGGTAGATTCAATCAAACATTATGTCTTCGTCAACAGAGGTGGACTGATAAGTGTCAAAGCTAATTTCAGAGAACCCAAACCCAGATGAGATGTTTTGTTAAGTGGTGAGAGAAGTGACGTCTGTGTTGACTGACTGATCATCTGCATCATTAAAGATCAAATCATCTGAAACATTTTATTGGTTTTATTTGTTAATGTTGTATAAACAAGGTTTGACTCAAACATAAATGAAAAACTCACGAGGGAGATTTCTCTGTGAAACTTTGTCTCCAGACTCGTCACACTCTTGTAGGTGCTGATGTAGAAGCCGACTCGGCTGAAAGGGAGATATCATGTGTCATTGTAGCAATGATTTGAGCAGTATTCAAGAAACAGATACTATAGATCAATGCAACCTTCAGCAAAAGGTCAAACCCTAACCACCAGGTTTGTATTTGTGCGTGTAATGTTTTGTGTTTGAAAGAATCCTGCAGTCTCTGAAGAGAATGACACTCTACTGCTGATCTACAGGAAACATCAGGTTTCTTCAATCTATGAATCTGCAGTGACTCAGCTGCAGCATCTTGGTTATCTAGGACCTCACCTGTCCCAGAGGGTCGGCAATTCATCCTGCAGACCCACATTCAGCTCATCAAACACCTTCTGAGATTTTTTCAGCTCCTCTTCTGCCTGAGAACAAAAATATTGTATCTTCACATCCAGACTCAAAGCATGTGACTGTTTTCTATAACTTCTGAAGCCCACCATGTTTCATGGACTCACCTTCATCATCTTGCGGTCGTTCTTCATTCCAGACGTCTGCAGGGTTTCAACGTGATGACGAGCGCTGTCATAGTCAATGAGTTTCCTACTTCTCTTGGCCACACGAGTCTGAAACATCCAAATTTAGTTTTCATTCTCTGGTTCAAAGTTTCAAGTTTCTTAAGTAAATAAAAAACATGTTTGTTACCTTTAGGTCTGGGAACTGTTGCAGGTACTCATCTAGGTTTAGTAGCGTCGAGTCCACCAGTTTATTATGGAAGTCTTCCCACAATGCATCACAGTCCTGCAGGAAACCAAGCCACTTATGCTGTCACGGCGACAAATCACAGCTCCAATCATTTTGTCTGATCTGAGATGCCAGGGGTCGACATCCTGATCAGTCTGTCCCTGCAGGTTATGACCCACAGGGACAAAGTCTCCAGAATTCAAAAAATCCCCTGGACACTTGTCTCTCACATGGACACTTTAGCTGCTTTCAGAAAGGCACTGAACTCTGGAGATTATCCAAATTTTCTCTGGAGGAAGTGTAAAACCTCCTGCTGTGTTATGCATATGTAAAAAACTGTGGGTTAACTCTGGAACCAATTATCTGGACTTAATCCACAGGTCATGTCTGAAAATGGCTTATGTGTCACACCTGAACAGTCTATAGTCGCTGGGCACACAATAAAAGAATTAAAGCATTGAAAATACATACAAATATAAAAGTGTTGAAAACCTAAAATAGGGCCTTTAAAAGCAAAAAGCAAGAGCTATATATCTCTATCTATATAGATGTCAATATATTAGGCCCGGGGAGGTGTGAACACTTTGCACAGATACATGAACAAGAGCCCAGCTGCCAACCTAAGCATAAGAATAACATGTAAGACAACAGATAACACAAATACAAAAAACATTTAAAAACCTGAACTCTTGTCTCACACAGAGCAGCATGTCTGTGTAGAGTGTTTAGGTGTGAATGTGTGACGCGTCTTCACGACTCTAACCTTCCCGATGGTCATCACATCATCTTTTCCATGCCAGTCTGGTTCGTAGACTTCATGCAGGGACTGTGTCAGGTTGATGGACGCCTGCTGCATCCCTGCACGACACAAACACCTTCACTGACGTTGTCCCCACAGAGACATGATAACCTCACACTAAAACACATGAAGTCCACAGACACTCTGGAGAACAGCTGAGGAGAACCTGTGAGAGCCTGTGAGCAGGTGAACTGAGAAGAACTTGCGTTGGATCAAAGGTCAAAGGTAACAATTAATTCACATGTTTTTATTTTCAAACACATCCTAAATTTAAACTTGAACACATTTTTGTTTATTTGTGTTTGATCTATGTATCTAGGTGATACTTATATAACAATAATAATGATGATGATTATTATTAATAATAATAATAATAACTGTATTTGTGTAGCACTTAACTAAACAAAGTTACAAAGAAAAACATTACAACACTATCTTCATTAAAAACCAATTCAAGACATTGTTTTATATTTTAAGTCTAAACAACAGAAACTTTTTCACCTTTAATAGATGACATGTAGGATTTCATCTCCCTCTGCAGTCGAGAACCTTCAGACTAACACACACACACACACACACACACACACACACACAGAGTATTGGTTAATATTAATGTCAGGGGCTGGTCGACGCTGTCAGTCTCATGACTTCATGACTTAAGTCCAAACTGATTTTTCAACAAAACGTCAATGTGATTAAATGTGCTTCAGATATTCATGTTCCCTTCAGGTTAAACTGAAATAACTGTCACTCTTTAGTGCCATTATTACGTGATGGCTTTACCACCAGCCTCCGTTTTAGTGATGATGTCTCTCACCTCCTGTCTCCTGAAATTTATCACCACTTGTTCAAACTGTTCATCTTTGGTCTCGTCTGCTTTCCCCAGTTTCTGCAGCACCTGAGAAAAAAATAAAATAATGCTCATTAAATAAAACCAATAACTAATGATTATTGTTCTTGTTTTTCTCCTTCTTCTATCAGATTTACAAACATCACAGATTTTGTTTTTCACTGTCTCTTCTAAAGAGTAAACTATTGTTGGATATGACGTGATTATAAAAATTTGAACCCACCCCTACCTAACCTTAGGGGCTGGGTCATTTCAGAAAAAGGCTTTTAGTGACCGACCAATCAGTGCAGATTTGGCTTTTTGGCACTAAGAGCTACCAAGCATTTCAGACAGAGGCTTTGCCTGACACAGATCATGTGTGTTTGAATATCACCAAGTTAAAATAAACCTATTTATATCACATCATTGTTCACTGATGCCACCATGTGTTTACTATTTATAAGTGACTTGGAAATAGTCTGTATTTATATAGCGCTTTTCTAGTCTTGATGAACACTCAAAGCACTTTCCAGCCATTCACACACACATTCAGACAGTGCATCTATTAGCAGCACTTTTTGTTCTATGAGGGGCAATTCGGGTTTCAGCATCTTGCCCAAGGACACTTCGGCATGCAGATGGGGAAGACTGGGGATCGAACTGCCAACCTGGTTGGAGGATAACTGCTCTACCCCTCAGCCACAGCTGCCTTGTGTTTCTGGATGAGACCAAATGATCAACCTGCTCAACATGTACTGAATGCAGCTCAGTGTATGTCCAAATAATAGAATCTCATTTTATGAACATTAAAAT